GACTCCACAGTTGAAAGGCACGACCAGAAAAAGGGCAACTACTTCAGAAGATAGTCAAAGACGGCATCTGGCGAAAATCCTTTTATGTTTGTGCAAATGTAACTACTTGTTTGACGGCAAATATAGTTTATGTATATCCGCTGTATTGTGCGTAACAACGTCGAAAGTTGCAAGTCGAGCAACAGAGAGGTCTATGGGAAGCTCGAATATCTCCATCATATGGCAACTGATCTTCAAAACGCTTAAGAAACGGTTTGCCTCTGGCCAACCTGCGTGGTGGGGCCTTTACATGTACATTGCTGATCTAACCTGATTTCCTCACACCTTAGCAACAATTTGGTCTTAGAGGAAGATTTGGAGTCAGAGTTCATATCTGCTCGAAGGACGAGGCTTCATCATTATACCATTTGCTGCGAAAGTTGCTAAACCTCTTTGGACTTCCCTTGTGCGGCAAAAATATGCGCAAACAGTCCAGCAAGGAAACGTACAGCTTCAGATCATGAAGCAGGAAAATTGTGCACTCCGGGAGGACTAGGCAGTTGCTGTCCCTTGATGACGCACGTTTCCCTTCAGAACTTCGATTTTCCGTCAAAGTAGACTCTTCAAAAACGGAAAACTTATGAAGAGGATGAAAATTGGAAATGACGTTGATGCTCAGATGTGTGCATAATTAAATACCCGTCGTCTCGTTGACAGCTTTGCATAAACTGAACTGCTTGCGGGAAGGATTAAGATACTTACTTGTTTACTTAGAATTTCCTAAGTGCCAGAAGCTTCATAAAGCCATATCTCCATAATCCCCTGATCCCCCTCCCCGATGTCACCGTCGTGAAGAGGCGGCTAATGGCTAACGTTGATCGGCCTACGACACAATGATAACTGGGGTCAACGGAGCTGAATAAAATATCTCATGGCCTCTGGCGTAGGTTGGTCTAAAGGCGAAAGCTCAACCTATACATTAGAACTGAATTATTACGGATTCCGTTCATATGCTGCCAACCATGGAATCAGAAGACCTGTCACCTTCCGTTCATGCTAATTCCCAAAGAAATGTTGTGTCGAAATTTGTTTACCGCTCGCCCAGCCACCAATAAGAAGAAGATATTGCCTGTTAGACATTATGGGCAAAGGGATTAGGCGATGATTTAGAGATTGTGCTTGTGAATGGAAAGAAAATATCGTCCTTTGCGACGTTTGGACGGTTAAAACTAGTCAATCGGCGATAATCCAATTGCTCCTTATCCACATCCACGTCTTCGTCATCCTGTGCGGAGGGTGACATTCGTCAGGAAACCTAAGTGTAAAATGTGCATTGGAAAATTTTGTATTTGTGCATAATGCAGATTATGTTGCATGCCCGGTTAATAGAAATTTTATTCTCTGTCTGAGGGATAGCCCATATAGCGTTTCCATATGTCTCACAGAGATACACAAAGATGATAACTTCCATTTCCCTCATATGGTTTCATATTCATGGTATGATTATCGTGGATGGTTTGCCTGA